AAGTAATGCTTGCCGCAGTCTTGCCGCGCGTGCCAACTTTGAGTTCTTGGGGAGGGGGGAGTGCCCATGAAGTGGATCCCCCGTCCGCCGGGTCGTTCTCAATCCACATGGGGCAACCTCTTCCAGCACGCGATCAGTAAAGCCGTTCCCCTGCCCATCGAAAGACGCCCCGCTCCGAAGTCTTCGGGGTGACAACGGGGCCCACTTCAACCGCGGGCGCTGGCAGGCTCGCCGTTCGCCCCCGCCCCTGGGCGTGCTCACCTCGGGTTCTGGCCCTCAGCGCGGCAGGGTCGCGTCAGGAACGGGCGCTCGTGGGCTGAGCACCGTGCGTGCCTGCCTTGATCGGGGACAACGTTACGGGGGATAGGCTCAGGGATAAACGCATGGGCAGTGCCGTTTTAAAATGCAGGGATTAAGCATAAAAAACAACGATGGGTTCATGCATGAATTTATTCATAAATGAATCATGTATTAAACATCCTAAATGTTTCAAAATCCTATGTATCAAAAGCTGCCCTGCCCATTCATCGCCGACAGGGGCCTGCTAGTTTCCCCCGCCCAGGGCCGTGCGGTTTCCACATCGAGGGCCTGTCGCGGATCCATCGGCGATGTCTCGTCGATTCCAGGTCGATGCTTCTCGCTTGAGCTGGTCCCCCCCCCATACAGCCATCGGACATAAGAAAGCCAAGAATCGGGACTAGACCCTGAGCGTTTCTTCTTGTAGCTTCTTTCTGCCGTGGAGTTTTCGTGCCTCTGGGCCGGGCCTGCTGTCTGGGAAAAAACGCTTGGCGTGAAGCTCCTTGTCTTGGCGATGCTTCAGCCCTGAGCAGGGGTGTATCTCGTTCCCCCGCGTCTGGGCGGCGGCGGGGGGGGCCGCCGGAAGACGAGAGGGCGCGAGCTCTGCTGCAGGGACGGGAGGCGGGCGCGCACGGGGCGGGGCGCCGTGCAGCGCCGCCGCCTGCGGCCGTGCTCTGCCCATGGCCACATTGGCGCAGCGCCCCCGCCCCGCGCCCGGGGCCTGGGGGCTTAGTGGGCCCTGGAAACGACGGGGCCGTTTTGTGACCGGTGCCGTTCTGCCGTTTCCGTTGCCGGTTCCGACGCCGTTTTTTTTTGTTACCGGTTCCGTCTTGCCGGTTTCTGACCGGCTCCGGCTCCAGTCCTGGAGCCGTGTTTGCTGCCGTTTCCGGTCGCCGTGGTTTTTGTTTGCCGTTGCCATTTTTTCGAGGGGCACCTCTTTTCGGAAGTGGGGAGAACACGGCCCTGCCGCTTCCGGGGCCCACTAAGGGCTTGTGGCGCCGTGCAGCGCCGCCGCCTGCGGCCGTGCTCTGCCCAGGCCATATTGGCGCAGCGCCCCCGCCCCGCGCCCGGGGCCTGGGGGTGAGGCTGGGGGCGCGGGCGGCCCTCTCGGAGCGAGGGGCAACGACAGGGGGGGAGGCGGGCGCAGCAAAGGGGGGGTGGCCTCGCATAGCCGGGCGTCGCAGGTCTCTCTTTTGGCAGCGGGCGTGGTCGCCGGGCTTCGGGCCCCGGGGCCCTCAGAGATCGATCGGGCTGGGCTTCGCCCCCCCCTCCCCCCTCCCTCTCTCCTGTCCCCCCCCTCTCTCCTGTCCACAATTACACAATATGAAAATACTCTCCCACTTCCCCTGATGGCGTCCCGAAGATATCCGACCCCCCCCCGCGTATTGTTTTTTAACACACTGGATTCCCGGGAAACGGGTTTTCGCTTGCGTTTTTACCTAACAGCTTTTGCTGATAGGTTTCTAGTAGGGTCAAAAATGACTCCTCAGGGGGGTCTGGGCGGGTGCCGGGGAGGAGAACCGGGAATCGTTTTTCGCCAACAGTCACACACTTCGTGCTCTTCGACCTCCCAGGACTCCATTCCCGGGCCACATTCTGGAGAACCGGGAACAGAGCCGGGCTCGCTTTTCGCCAACAGTCACACACTTCGTGCTCTTCGACCTCCCAGAACTCCATTCCCGGGCCACATTCTGGAGAACCGGGAACAGAGCCGGGCTCGTTTTTCGTCAACAGTCACACACTTCGTGCTCTTCGACCTCCCAGAACTCCATTCCCGGGCTACATTTTGAGTGCCCGGAGCCAACTGTAGGCCACTTCGTGCTCTTCGAGTTCCCAGAACTCCATTCCCGGGCCACATTTTGGATGCCCGGAGCCAACTGTAGGCCACTTCGTGCTCTTCGATTTCCCAGAACTCCATTCCCGGGCCACATTTTAGATGCCCGGAGCCAACTGTAGGCCACTTCGTGCTCTTCAAGTTCCCAGAACTTTATTCCTGGGCATGATTTTGAATGCCCGGAGCCAACTGTAGGCCACTTCGTGTTCTTCTAGTTCCCAGAACTCCATTCCTGGGCCACATTTTGAATGCTGAGGCAGGCTGATGCTGCGGCCGAGGCAGGCTGAGGCTGAGGCAGGCTGAGGCTGAGGCCGAAGGCTGAAGGCAGACTGAGGCTGAGGCTGAAGCAGACTGAGGCTGAGGCTGAGG